AATACTAAAGGGTTTGAGTTATATAAATAGCTTTATTTTTAAGAAAGTTATGGAAAATTCACAAAATTTGGTATCTTTTTAAAATATATTTTATATAAAATATATAATATAAATATATATATATTATATATATATATATATATATATATATACTTCTTTTTCATTATATTCTTTTTGAATTGGCGTTATATATGATGAAAGTTATATTAATGAACCATTTAACGTTTTTTTCATTTATAATTCATATTTGGTATTTAGATCTTCTATTTTTTTTATTTAAAAATAATAATGTTTATATCTAATTTTTTTAATAAACTCTTTTTTTCAGAGTCCTTTTATTGTGATTTCTATATATATTTTTTAATTTTAATTATAATTTTAAAATATTTATTTATTTTACCTATTTTTTTAATTATGATTTTTTATCCATTTTTTTATGTTTTTTTATTTTTTGATAGAAATTTTAATATTTAAAATAAAAATAATATCCGTTTTATTTAATATATGAAATTTATTTATTTTTAAAAATATATATATTTTTTTCAAAAATTATATATATATTTCTTTATCATGTATATTTTTCTCCTTCATATTAAACTTCGAAATTTTCCAAAATATCTTTAATTAGAAGTTATTTTCTTTCTGTGACAAACTATTCCCATTATTAAAGCTTTATTTATTTATAAAAATATATTAGTTTATTTTCATCATCTATTAATTTCTTAATTGTATCTAAATATTATTCAGGTGATATTTATTAGTTTTCAACTTTCATTTCTATTATCTAAATATTTTTATTAAATAATTATTTTTTAGATTTTATAAATTTACCATTTTATTTTTCATGAATTCTTCGTTAAGTTTATTTGCTACTTTTCTAACTGCAAGTGTAAATTTAGCTTATTTAATTTCATCTTATAAAAACTTTTAAAATTAATCTAAATATGGTAAACTTTAATATTTTTATGGATTTTCAAGGTTTATTGCATCTTCAATTGAAATACCTTTAGGCAATTATTAAGAACATTAATTAATTAATTCAATTCCTTAAGTTTTTTCAGTAGGTTATATAAACTATTTTATTTATTTTTTAAATAAAAGAAAAATGAACAAAAATAATATAAAAATTGTAATACAAACAAATATGGTTATGAAGATTGTTAATCATATTATTATTATTATTATTATTATTATTATTATTATTATTAATTATTATTATTATTATTATTTTATTTATAATTAATCTTATTATTGAACCTATTAATTCTTTTATTCTTCAGGGTTAAAACTAATTTCAGAAAGTTATTTTTTTTTATATTCTTCTACTCCTTCATTTATATTAAAAGGAGGATAAATTTATTAAAGTTTATAAATTTAGAATTCTTTATTATTTATAGATTAAATAGGTGCTTTAATATATATTCCATACTTTTTTTTTATTTAATCAAAAAAATATTAAAATAAAATTACATCTAAATAAAATTTATGATTTTTATATTAAAGTTCTAATTAAGCATCTATAGAATTAGTAGTTTCAATGTCCGTAAGATTTATAACTCCTTTTGCGAATTCAGAATTTGAAAAGAATCCTTTTTCATACATAATTATATTTATTTTTTTCTAATATAAATCGAGTGGAATATTTTTCGAATTATGTAAAGTAATAATATTATCATAGTTAAATACTAAAGAAGGGTCACAATAATCAGTTTAATTTGAAAAAACACTGCCTTAAGATTCAAAAGAATAAAATATTTAGAATTTACCAGATTTACAATTTATTAATCTTTTTAATTTAATTTGAATTTAGTTTTTATCTAAATTTTTATTTTCAAAACTTAGATTTATTTTTATATTTTCTTTAGTTATTTTAGGTAATAAAATCCATTCATTATATTAAGCTTTTTCTAAATTTAAAGTAGTTAACTTATATTCTTCTATTCTTGATTTACTTTTCTCAATTATTTCATTTGCTAATATTTTCTTTTAAAAACTAGCCATTTTTTATAAATCATATTCTTATTTTATACCAGTTTCTAGTTTATCTATCCATAATTTTTTATCTTTTTCAAATAAAATAATAAAAAAAAAAAAATATTTAATTAACGATATTTATAAAAAAATACTTATTTCATATTATTAAGGGCTCATATCTTAAAAAAACTATAAAGTAATTTACTTAAAATCGTTCTACATAAAAACTGAAATAGGTTAATCATTTCCTTCTTTTAAATTTTAGAGTATACCTTAGCCTTTTTTAAGTAAAGGAATATAATAATTTTAAAGGACATCAACTTTCTCGTTTCTTAAATATTCTTTATAAAAGTTACATAGATTATGATACTATTTAAAAGTTTCACTTAAAATGGTTATTTTTTAAACAATTGTTTTATCATCATAATTTTCCTTTAAAATTTCATTCATATTTACTTCTTTATTATTTTAAAAATTTCCAAGATTTTATTAAATTTTCTTAAAGTCATCTAATTACTCAATAGTAAATTTCAAATAAGCCTAAGAATTTATTTTTAACTGTTTTAAGTCTGTCTATAATTAGTTTATTCTTTAGCCTATTTTAATAAAGTAAGTTTTTTCTTATTTAGAATTTTAATACAATTCTTTTTATTTTTATAGTATTTTTTCTACTTATCCTTCATATTTCTCACCAGTTAATTTCCCTTCCAAATACTTCTAAGAAAATGTTTTCAGTGCCTAATTTATTTAATAAATTTTTTCCTAAAAAAACTACAATAATTACTAAGGTAGAGCCTTATTACTTTATTACTATTGAATATTTTTCTTTTCATTTAATAATAAAGAAACAACTAATATATCTTCTATTTTATTAAAAATATTTTCTTTTTCAATTAATCTATTCACTATTTCTTATTATTTTTGGCTTACACCAGTATTTTTTCCTTATTATTAATTTTATTTACTTTGTTTTTATTATCCTTAGTTTGAATCATTATTATTATATTAAAATTAACTTGAAATTTGTTCTAATTTCTATTCTCCTCTATTAAATTCTTACATTTCTTTTTATAATTAAAGTTTTTGTTATTCATATTATTTTTAATGTTTCTTAATTTCTTCATCATCTTCTTCCAATTCTTACATATTAGCGATTTAATTTTCTAATTCTTCTATATCTTTTTTGTGTTTTACTATATTTTTATTTTGTGTTTGTACTGGTACATTTGCAATTTCATCATCTTCTATATCATCCCCTATCATATTTTAAAAGTTTTTCAAATTTCCAGCTAATTTATCTATTTATTATTATTCTTATTGTAATCTTAATTTCATTTCTTTTTCATATTATTTATCATCAAATTATTCATTTTCATCCTCTTATTTTTTATAAATATATATATATATATTTTTTTATAAAATTTTAAAACCTTTCATATTTTCTAATTCTTTTTCTAATTCTGAAATTACATTTTTAACATTCATTTTTTTTATATTTATTAATATATATATATGTATTTATATAGTATAATATTTTATTATAATATATTTATTTTTAATAATATATTTACTAATAAAAATTTTATCATAAAATAAAAAACATATCTAAATTAATATAAATATATAATTTTTTTGTTTCATATAAAATTAATAATTAAAAATAAAAATCTTTGTAAAATTATATATACATATATTTATATAAAAATAAATATGTTTTTTACATATTAAAAATATTTGATTTTGTAAATTATATAAAAAACAGGCGCATAAAAAGCCGCATTCTTTATATTTAATTTATTAAGATTATTTATATTAACTTTCTACTATTTCTATAAATTAATTTGACAAAATTTTAAAATTAATACCTTTTAAAACAACTACATCTTTATTTTAAAAATCTTTTTATTAATTATGCTATAATTAAAAAAGTCAAAAGTTGATATTCCATTAGATATTTTATTAAATTAATTTATCATATACATATTTATAAATTAGCTTAGTAATTAATTTGTCGATATTATTAATTTTAAGTTTATTTAAATTTACATTAAAAGCTTGATTGTTTTTTTGTAAATATTCAGAAATTGTCATTTTTAATTTAAATTAAATAATAAAATATTAATATTTTAATGTGTAAGAGGCTTATCCTTTTAAACGAAACGGGTTATATGTTAGCAATATTTATGTGATTGTTTAATATTTTATTAAAAAGAAGTTTTTTTAAAAATTGAAATATTTATTATTGACAATAAAAATATATTTTACAAGAATTTAAACATTATTTTTTTTATTTTACTTTATGTTTTTTATTTTATTTTTAATTTATCAAAAATACGCAATTAAATACATGTATAAAAAGTACTTTTTTTTTTTTTTTTTTTCTAAAAAAAATTAAAATAAATAAAATATCTTAATTATATTTATTTTTTATAATTTATTATTGAATTTTCGAGTATTATTAAATTTTAATCCAAATTAACATTCATTTTTAGAAATTCTTATTATAAAATCAGAAATAAATAAATAAAAAATATTATTTTTGTATTTAAAATTATTTAAATAATTTTAATTTTCGATTATATAAAAATATATTTATGAAATATAAACCAATAATTCTTAATTAGAAGATATTTAATATAAAAAACAATACTTATAAATATATATAAAAACTAATTTTTTTCTTTAAAAAACTATTAAAAAAATAAAAATCAATGATCATATAAGTCATATTTTTTATTTTATTATAAATTTTATATAATTTTTATATTATTTTTTTTATATTTTAAATTAAAATAATTTTTATTTTAGCTTTAATTTGTGATTATTTTTATATAGATATTATTTTCTATATATTTTTTATTCATGATATTAAAAAATTTACTAAAAATTTTAATTGATTAAATTAATATTATATAAAATTATAAATAATAGAAAGAAATATCTTAAAATTTATATAATTTATATTCTGTAAATATATCTTTATTAATTAAATTTTAATATTTATATGCATTTTAATTGATTTTATTAAAATTATAGAAAATTATAAATAATAGAAAAAAATATCTTTTTATTTAAATAATTTATATACAATCATAAAGTTAAATAAATATTATTCTTAAAATAAAAAATCTCATTTTTACGTTGTTGTTTTATTTTAATTATTAAAAGTTTTTATTTTTATATTATATTATATATTTTATGATTAAATTCCTAATTATATTTGTTATTTATTTAAAATAAAAATATTATATTGAATTTTATTATAATTTAAAAATATTGAATATCATATAAGAAATAATTTTTTTTTATATATAAATAAATTAAAACCTTTTATCTTAAAAAACTAAAATAAAACATGAAGAAATAATCATTGTTAGTCATAATAATATTAATATAATAATCATTTTAATAGTAATAATCCGATAAATAATGCTAATGTGAATTAAAGCTAAAATATTTACCTGATGAAATTACTGTATAAGGAATAGCATCTGCTTTTCTATAATATAACTAATTTTAATTATAAGTTTCTTATGAAAATGTTGGTGATACAGTAGAAACAGCTAGCTAATAAAATAATTAAGTTGTGAATTAACTTTTAGGTATTTTAAATTAATAGTTGTTTACACACTAATCTAACTTATAAATTTAAACAACTGGCTAAAGTTTTTAACATAATATAGAAGGAAAAACTTAAGTTAAAAATTCAATTAAAGTAAGCTCTTCTTATTTAAAAGACGTTGGAATAGCTATTTCAAATGCCGTCGCTAATTAATTTACTTCTATAGATTATTTATAATACAGTAATGATGATGATTCAATAAACAAAAAGCTTTTTGATTAAGCAGTTTAAGATGCTAAATATAAAGCGGAATTACTTGCAAAATAATTTAATTGTAAAGTTGTTGGCTTAAAAAGAGTTAAATTGTTAAAGATTATAATAAGCC